TTTTTTAATCTTATTATACAAACATTATATTGTGTTATTAATTTTTTATAAAATTTTACTAACAATATTCTTATTTACTACTAATTTGATTTTATGTTTCTTTTAATTAACATACTAAGTAATTGTAACATATATTTTACAAAAATTATTAAACTTTTTTAATCTTATTATACAAACATTATATTGTGTTATTAATTTTTTATAAAATTTTACTAACAATATTCTTATTTATTACTAATTTGATTTTATGTTTCTTTTAATTAACATACTAAGTAATTGTAGCATATATTTTACAAAAATTATTATATATATTTTCTGTAATTAATATAAAAAGTTTAATTATAATTTTATTATTATTATTTTTATTTATGTTTAAACATGAAGTACAATCTAAAAATTATCAATCTTTTGTAATTTAAATTTATTTTTAGTCCAATAATGAAAACTAAAAGTATATATTTTTAATATTTATAAAATCAAAAGGAATTTTTTTAGTTTTTTTTTATCAATTAGTGCTTTTTGTTTCTTATTTGGTGCTAAAACTTTCAATGTATCATTTAACTAAATCATCGAAGATTTGCCATGAATAAATGAATACTTCATAATAGGTTAGTTTAATACGTATGTATTCATTATAAGAAAAAAAAAGTTAAAGCAACCCAATTTTATTATATAATACATATGTTATGCGCATTTGCATAAATGATGACGTATCTCAGATTTGTAACAGGTTATGTCGATCATCGCTGATTGTAGCCAATAAAATCACAAGATCTCGTTTAACTTAAAAAATTTCGAGAAAACAGAAAATAGCAAATAACTCAAGATTTTACTATGATAAACACAGTTTGACTTATAAATTTTAGTTATATGAGAACATTTTTAAATATCGAATCTTAAGTAAATTAAAGCCTGCGCTAAATTCTGATCTTTTGTGCTCTTTCAGTTTGGTAATTGGCATAGATTCAGTGCGTGCATTTAAATCTTGATCTGACATAACTCAATTTTAAATCTACGCCTCTCTGAATCTGACGCACGACATATATATTAAACCATTCTGCAGATGTTCTATAATTAAAAAAAGTACAGACATCAAATTTGATAAACAAGTATAGGTAAGTATCAATGAATAGAAAGCCTTGGTTATAGAATTCATAAATGCATGAGAAATTCACCTTTAACAATCAACAGTTTCACTATGATCCAAAATAATTCAGTTGATGCTTTGTAACTAAACAAAGTACAGATATCGAAGCTTCATGAGTTTGATAAACAAATATAATAAGTAATATCAGTGAATAGAAAATTCTATGACTCGTAAATTCACATAAACAAATGAATTAATTCACATATAAAAAGGATTTGAAATTGGACAAAAGCATCGACAATAAAATGTAAAAATGGAAATAATTAAAGAGAATAAATGCGGGGAGGAAATGGTTTAAGGAAAGTAGTCATAAGCCAGGGACGTGGGGGATCTTATGATTTACTGTGATATTAAGGAATATTTACTTATAATGTACAATAGAAACACCGTAAATCGCAAGATCCCCGAAGATATTCACGATCATACTATGAGTTCATTTGTATATCTTTTTCAAGTGCATGAATAACATTAGATTGATAAACGGCGTCAATCCGTCGAACTCTAGAACAAAAGAAAAAAAGTCAATCTACAAGATTACAAGATGATATGATTACATGATGAGACAAATATATGGAAAATTTGTGGGCGACGTTACAAAGATTCGACTAAGGTAGTAAGATTTGTTCATACACAAAGGATTAACCACACGTGTATGATGAATATGATAGTAGAATGGTAATGATAAGAATAAATTGATGTAATTCGCGTCATCATAGGAAGTTGATACAAAAAACACGATGTTTATATAAGCATGATACAGTGCGATAGAAGATTATACCAAAATTACCAAAAACAAAGATGGCGTATATTATCGGGGTTTTAATAATTGTATTTCCCGCCAATAAGACCAATAAGACGTAAACATGCCTAAAATTAGTTTATATGAAACAAAGCATTGTCAAACCTTCTGTATATGTCCACGAGCTTGATACTGACGTGACATCATTTACTCAAAATTTCAAATCCACGTGATGAATTAATATGTTTGTTTTTTGAATGTAACGTCAAGATCTCATCTATGTCTACAAACGCACCGACCACAATTTTAACAACTATATATCAATTATTATCATGAAGGCTCTGCGTTTCGTTTGTGTTCATCAACAATCCATACTTTTAATGATACGACTAATAATTTAAAATAAAATCACAACTGATTCACGCGAAAAATTGGAGAAGAAAACTATCACGTGAAAATAGAATACCACATGACTATTTATATTAATATCTCGAATACAGGCGAATACTATTCGAATGTTACTCGAATTACTTATGCGTACAAGCGGAAACTATGTTTCCGAGCAATCGATATCTAGGACATGTATGTAGTACAAAATGGCAATTTTGGTTATCATTTATTTTCTAACAATGGCCTCTATCGGAAATATTAGGGAGGTTGGAGATGTCTATTACCGTTTTAAAGAAACAAATTCTGGTATCGATTCTTATCAGTTAAATTTACGTAATATCATTCCATTTAATTCTAATTAATCGTTGAAAGATAGGCAAATATCTACGTATCACAATTTATGGATATTCTTCTGTGCGCGTCATTACTTTATTGAAAATATGAGTTTTTGGATTATCTGTTAAACTATAACATGTGTAATTATCAGAGTTACGCGATATTAACAATTTATTTACTGAATAGTTAAATGTGCCGATAAATACTTTCACCAAATATACTTCAAAAAAAATCAGCCGCGAGATAAAATAAGATTTTCATTTTTTTTTTTTTTAATATATATTTTTGATATTTCTGATATTTCTGATTAACTATATAATATATATAATAATTGTATTATTTACGGATCTTGATAAGAGAGGTTTACTTATTTTAAGGAAACGAAAGAACAAAAAAAAAAAAATCCAAGTTATGTATCATATGTTAATGCTTTAAAAAATCTTGTAAGTACTTATTCTACACGAAAACTCCGCGCAATATCAATATTAATCTATGATAGCATTATTTTTTTTAAAAAAAAATCTTAGCATCATGAGTCAAATAATTGTATAGTAAATGCATATCATTAAAATGTGGCAACATTTTCTTCGTTGCTCTTTTGTTAAAAAGAATAAGAGCTGGATTTATTTACATTTATTACAGTAATTTACAGTAATTTTACAGTAATTTACAGTAATTTACAGTAATTTACAGTAATATAGAATAAGCAGATTGTTAAGATAACGAATTCAGATTTCTAAGATAACGAATTTGTTAGTGAGAGAACATCTAGTTATTATGCATGAGTTTGATTAGAATGATTTCGGAATGTGTATGCACATTATCTTGGCTATAACAGCTACAGCGCATACATCATGAAATCTCGAATATAATTCATATTATCATTCAAATTATCATTCATATCTACGAGAACAATGATTCAAGTAAGAATGAATAATATATATAACTAATAATCGTAAATGTAGTTAATGTAATAGTAATAATTAAAAAGAAGGGCTGATCAAAAAAAACGGGTCAATGACGAGAAAAGATCATTTAAATAGTTAAGAAGTGTAGCACTGGCTAATTCTAATTCTGGGACTAATGAAATTTGGTTATACAACATACTGTAAACATACTGTATATTCTTTATAGTTACCTTAAAATTCTTTACATGTTTGTTTACTTTCCAGCTTTGCAGGTGACCTCAAGTGCGACATATTGCCTTTTATTTATTTTTATATATTAAATTAATATAACGATAATAATTTACATATGCGAATACCAAGAGTCATAAGGGTTACAAAGGAGAGAATGGTTGGTCATCTGATAACTTACGCAATTATAGATCTGTAATATATTAACTCCCTATTATGTTTGATGAACGAAGTAATCAGCCTGCTCTAAAAGTAAATGCTTTTTTTATATTGTGTTCCAATGCTATATACACCCTATCAGTAAAACCGCGCATTTATTCTTGTGATATTTATCTATTTATTTATATACTCCTATTACATAATAATAAATAACTTTTTCAGTATACTCATGTAACAAGTTTATCTCGGTATTTTATTTTGTTGATACAAGATGCTTACGTATCTGCTTTATCCCCTCTGTATATTTTACATTTATACCTTACGATATGACCACCCCCTTCAACTTTTCGAGTTTTTTTTTTCAATGACATTTTCTTCGGCCACCATCCTTTCTTTAGTAACTTTTTTTATAACGTGTACCTTCAATAATCGTGTTTCTCTACCTCTCTCCTAATCGATTAACGTCTTTAAAAACTTTTTAACCATATGATACAATATCTAATACTAAATCTAATATTAAAATCTATCACTAAATCATTAATTGTTTAAATCATTTAAAGATTTAAAGAAACGAACTTTTTTTGAATATCTATACAAATTATCTATAACGAAACAAAAAAAAAAAAAACTATATAATGTATTCCGTTTGTGAACCTGTATCAGAAGATGGTTATCCATATGTACGCTGGATACATTTTATATTCGGTACTTGTATATATGGCAACCAAGAAGCAATCAGCTTTATATTTGGTAAGTCAACTAAAAAGAAACTTCAAAGACGAGATTATTATCATTAGTTACATTAGTTATTGTTTAGATTATTATTTAGCGTTAATTTGTTTCTAATATATTACCAACTTTATTTTTTTATAGGATGTGCATCCATATCATGTTGGCTATGTGCTCAATTTCCGTACGTTTTTTTTTTTTTTTTTTTTGTTACCATCTTGCATTTTTCTTGTTCTTGTTCTTGTCAATTGATCATCAATTTCTTTTCTTTTTTTAGTCAAATTATAACAAATTACCGTAACAAGTCCGTTGAAGGACTTAGTTTATACTTTCTACTGAATTGGTTATTGGGTGACTTGGCTAATTTTGCTGGCTGCATACTGACAAACCAATTGCCATTCCAGGTAATTGAATCATGTGACTACTTTTCTCTTTCAATGCTTCTTTTTCGTTTCACACTCATTTTTTCTCTTTTATTTTATAGATGTATCTTGCAGGTTATTTCTGCTCAGTAGATTTGGTACTTTTTTTCCAATATTATTATTATACTTGGCTCTCTTCTTTGAAAGGTCCACTTGATGAAGAAGTACCATTAGAACCAGATGATGATCCAAGGTCGTCAAAATTTTCTATGACTTCACTGAGAGACTCGATATTAGAAGGTGCAAAAAAAAGTTACACGTTTCCAGAATTAAAGAAAGGATCGCATAAACGAATGTATGTTTTACTATTTTCTTTATCATGTGATTATTCAATTTGATTAATTTAATTTAATTTAATTTATTTTATTTTATTTTATTTATTAGTTCTTCGATGGTTTTCGTCGTCCTCCTCCTCACTTTTCATTCCACTTCTATTACAAAGCCTTCCCTCTCATCCCTTCCAATTAATCACGTTAAATCTCTCGATTCTAACTATCTTACTCTTAATGATCCAATAAACACTCAAATCTTTATAGGACGGATAATGGCCTGGTCATGTACAGTGTTGTATCTAACAAGCAGAATGCCACAAATATGGAAAAATGTATTTAAAATCTGTTCAATTCTCACATGTTTACGTGCTTAATTTCCATGTATTTTTAATTTTCATGTATTTAATTTTCAGTATACCAGAAGATCTGTTGAAGGTCTTTCTATATTTATGTTCATATTTGCTGCACTTGGCAACCTCACCTACACTTTGTGCATATTCACGAACCCGTTGGTTTCAAAAAATTCCGCTTTCCTTCATGAAGTTGTTCCTTACATATTGGGTTCTGTTGGTACCTTATCATTTGATACTGTTGTGTTTATTCAATGGTTAGCTTGGCGTGATCCTGAACGTCGAAAGTTTCGTCGTCGAAGTCAAAATTATTCCGATTGTGAAATTGAATATCAACAAGTGCCAAGTATTAGGAGTAATCGTAATTCAAGATCTCTTTATGATCACAGGAGGAGTGATCATACGATAAATAATTATTTCGTAGCTTGATTTTTCATTGATAAAAAAGTATACACTTATAGATTTTTTATAACAATAGTAACGTTTATTATACTTTTTTTTTTCTTGTTTATCAGAATAATCAAGCAATTTTCGGTGGCCGAGATTATATTTCATTATTTTGATTCCGAGGTTATTTAATGAACATTTAGTCCTTACTATCGTAGTTTTAGGCAACAATTCACTCTACAATCATCAACATGTTTCGCTCTAATTAATTCTTTTAACTTTCTAAATTTTATAAATGCCCTTTTTTTTTTGTGTAATATATTACCGTTTTTTTTTTCTTTTTACATATATTCACATATCTTGTTACATAGTCTCGTTCATTCAATTTATCTCTTTCTTTGTTAGTACATGTTTGTTAAAAATATCTTATGCTGTTTGTTTTTGTATTTCCAAAAAATCAAAAAAAAAAAATTCCTTAAAAAAATCCTACAATCAGGATTTAAATATTCTGAAAAAATCAGAATAAAAAAAAAAAATAAGAGAATACATCTATACTACTCTTTAAATCTTGTGTGTAAATCTTGTGTGTAATTGGATAATCTTTATATTCGAATTCGTATTATTATATTACATAATAGAGTAATATAATCCAACCCAGCTCAATGTTTTACTATGTTAATCATACTTAGTAAACATTGGATATGTTGATTATATGGGCTAAGTGCTGGGAAAAGGGCCCAAATTGACAATGTTTTCAGATGCATAAATCAATTTAGAATAAGATTATAAAAGTAGTTGTATTAATAAAATTTTGCAGTATAACTCTTTAAAATTTACAATTTCTTATAATTTATTATAAGATTTACAATACAAAAAATTTTGATTTTCAAAAGATCTTTTGTTTTGTCAATTTGGACCCTCCTAGCCCATAAGTAAATCGATATTTTTAGGCCAAATCATAGGGAAATCGATTTTTAATGCGGTGTAACAATACCACTTCGGGCAAAATTAAGTGTATAATTTGGGCCGGACAACATAAATTTAGCGATCACGTTATATTGGGTTACACCAAATAGTGAATTCTGATTGGTCAATCTTGGTAAATCATTGTCCCTAACGTACGACAAAACTACAGCTATGCATACATACTAGGAATCGGGAGCATAATAATACGTAAAGGTAACATAATACTATCAAATCATGAGAACACAGTGTCTTCTGATACGCTCCAGACAACAGACTTGTTAAAGTATGTGTAGTTATACAACATTATTCAAAGTTAATAATATATATAGCAATTACTTTATTAATTTATTTATATAGAATTATAACATTGAAAGTCTCATCATTTTAGCCATATAATCATATGACTTTTTGGACATAGATCATATTGATCATGTTAAATGTTAAATACTACGTACTAAATGCTAAACATATACTGTATATATCATACATAGTAAAAGAAAATTTTTATTATAACGATAATATTATAGGTCATAAAGTTCATGACTAAATGACCTATGATGACAGGTCATAAAGGTCATATGGGTCATTTAAGGTCATCTGCCAACATTAAACTTAACCACATTATAATTGTATTTATCTTTACTGTATTTAAAGATCACTTCCAAAACTAATCAAATCACAAGGTTTATAGACAGACATTCGTCTGATTGGCTGATGTAATTCAATTGCCCGATTGACTTATTTATACACATTAAAAGTACTTTTTGAGAATCTTACGTAAAAAAAAAAAAAATTCGCCATTAAAATTATAAACAAATGTTAATATTAATAATATATCTATAAAATCGACAAACTTATAAAAGCGAATATTTATATATCATTTATTGTCAGTACAAGTTATATTAACTGTATATAAGCTTAAACTGATAGAAATGAAAAAAAAAGAAATTTGAAATATTACATGTAAGTTTTGATGAACTTAAGTTTATATTAATGCTTATATAGTATTTATGTATTGTTTAATATTAAAGTTAAACCATTAAATTAGTAGGCGTAACTTCATTTATGATATGGACAAAAACTATAATGAAATGCCGTGAACGAAGTCACGGGGCAGTCATTTATCACGAGACACGTCACCATTATGACGTTAGTATTTGGTAAGTAATTGGTAGTAAGAGAGTTAATTGAATGATTAATTAAGTGATGAGGTCATCGTTGGTAATGGGTAAGAGTAGTTAGTTTAATTGAGTAAAAGGTAATAAGTATGAGATCATAAATAATAATTATATAAAGGAAGTATGAATAGAGAGTAGTTCTTCCTCTTTTGTCTTTGCTGCTAACTCGACGCAAGTCTAGTTTTGTCAAAATCACGTGGTTATAAAGAAATGGAGGGTGTCAATAGAAACCAAGCAAATTGTTTCTAAGTAAAATTTTTTTAAAGTTTAAAGTAAAATATCTTAACAATTATTAAACCAAACTTGATAAAAATTTTTTTATTTTAATTTTATATAGTTATATAATTAAAAGAAAAAAGATTAGTTTAATAGTTGTTAAGTTATTTTAATTTAAAATTTTTAAAAAAACTCAAAAAACAATTTGCTTGGTTTCTATTGATATCCTTTCAAATATTAAGTCATTATAGAGAACAATAGTAATATACAGGAAATATTTTTGACAGTAGTAATGAATAGTATCTTGAAAGATAGTATGAAGAAAGTGTTGCAACAGAGTTTAAAGAGTAGGTTGAATCAGTTGTTGATAAAGATATTAAAAATAGTGTGTAAGGATAAAAGGTTAGTAGAAATAGAAAACAAAAAAGAGTTGATTAAAAAGTTGGCAGTAAGAATAATTAGTAAAGTAAAAGAAAAAGTATTAAAAGTGACAATCAAAATAGAAATGTATAAAAAAAGAAGTCAAGTAGTGAATTAAATAACCTGATATATGAGAATAGAGATAACAGAAGATCAAATACAAATGAAAAAAATTTTGAATTTCAAAAGTATGTGATACTCAATTTGCAGTATATAGCTTTGAAAACTTTTTAGTAAAATAGTTCAGATAATGATGAAGAAGATAATAAATAAAATTAAAAGGAGTTTGCAATTAAGACAGTATGAAAATGAAAATAAATATTGGTTAAAAGAGAAGATGGAAAAAGTTAGAGATCAATTTGAATATGATGAATAATATAAGGCAAAATAATTATTGAATAATGTGATGAAAAATAAAAATTAGGATTTAATAGTTAAGGCTTAAGAAGTTGCTATCAGAGTATTTATGTTAAGAATGATAAGTAAGAAAAGTTAGGATATAGTAATAGAAATTAAAGATCTTTTGAATAATGATTCTATAGAAGTTTATTTTCAGAAAAGATTAGCAAATATCAAACAAGTAATAAAGAACAAATAACCAAGATTAGAAAGCAAATTGGAAATAAAAGCAGTTTTTATAAGATAGTTTGTTGGAATATAAAATATATTGTTGAACTAGGTTATGCAATAATTTTCATTTCAACTTATTTAACAATTAGAGTTTAATACTAATGTAAGATCTTATTATAGTAATGTAGAAGCAGATTAGAATATGTATTAATAATTATATAGAAGTCAGGATAATTTATAAAACTAATTAGAAATAAATCAAAGTGAATCTAGAATATATATAGAATAAGTTGATTAGAAAAATAAAAAATCCAGAAATTGTATATTTTATTTATAAAAAAAAAGAGTTATATTGTCTAAGATTATTCTTAAAAGAAATTGGAACAATTCTTTTAAAAAATAAATATAAAAGAAGAAAAAAGCTGACTATATTTGAGAAAAGAAGAGCCAAGAGAAACAAAAGATGATAAAAAGGATTTATTTAAAGTTATTAGTAGAGTATTAGAAAAGGGTAATAAAACTTGTGATTTTAGTTATAATATAATTAAAAAACAGTATAACTGTTTCTAAAAGAAGTAAAAATTTTGGGCTAGAAGAAGGTAAAATAGTTTGAATTAGAGTAGGTAAAAAAAAATAGAAAAGTCTAAAAAGAACAGATGCAATAAGAATAATATATATAAGAAAAGAAAGATCAGAATTTTTGTTAGAAATGAGACTAGTATTCTTGATGCTGAAAATAGGTCTGAAATAGTATTACTTGATAATAGATTTAGAAAGATTAAATTAAATATATTCTTAATTTGATTTAATTTGATTAAATATTTAAATCAAATATTTAAATTTAATTTGATTTTCAAAAAAATTTAAAATTTTGATCAATAAAAATAAACTTGATTTATAAAAAATTTTATTATATTAATTGATTTTGAGTTCTTAAGTAAAAGTGTTCATCTAAACAAAATACCTCTAGTTTTATAAAACAAAAAAATTTGATTGTCTTAATAAAATTTTAAGTAAATAGCTTATAATTTTAAATATTTAATTATAAATTTTCAAATTAAATCAAATATTTGTTAAATTAAATCATATTTGATCATATTTGAATTTAATTTGATCAAATCAAATTAAATCAAATCAAATTGCAGAATTCTAATTAATATAATATATTTTTATATATAAAACAAAGTTATTTAAAAAATAAAGATAGAATTAGTTAATAAAATGTTAAAAATTATAATAATTTTTATAATTTTATTAATAAAATTATAAAAAATATTATTATTTTCAAATTTTACTAATTAATTCTATTTTTATTCTTTAAATAACTTTATTATATATATAAAAAATACATTATATTAATATATATTTATTTTATATTTTTTAAATTTAAAAAAAATGCTTAATTTTAGATTTTTAATAAAAAATTCAAAATTAATATTTCTAAGTTTAGTTTAGTTTAAGTTTATAAACCAAATTTATTAAATCTAAACTAAATTTTAAATTTTACAGATTATTGAACTTGAATCTAAACTAAAATTTAAATTTTACAAATTATTAAACCTGAACTTAAACTAAACTTTTTTTTAAAAAAAGTTCAAGTTTAGTTTAGTATTGAACTGAACTTAAACTTAAACTTGACTAAAGTTTAGTTTAGTTCAAATTCATAGAAACACTAATTTTAGTAAATTTTTTGTCAAGAACAAAGTAGTTCTAAGAGGTTTAAATGTATTAAATACTTTGAATAAATGTAGTCTTAAAGATGTCACTATGATATAAGTTAAGATTATATATATAAAGAAATTAAATAAGCAAAACTCATAGTTGGCTTATAGGTATAATATTTAGTATAAAACCTATATAGTAGTGTATAGATAAACTACTTAAATTAGGTACTAAAAGTGTATATATAACTAGTTATAACCTCTTATATATATATACTCTTGAAGACATTTGTGTTTAATAAGAACTTGAATAAAAAGATTATTTTTTAAAAGTAGAAACTTTAACTTAAAAAAAAAAAATAAATAAAATAAAGTATAAAAATTAATATCTATAACAAAAAAATATCACAAACTTTTTTTTTTTTTTTTTTTTTAAGCATCATGCTAGTACTTTATTAAATTTTGAAATTACATTTGCAATTATATAAATATTCTTAACATCTAAGTTTAGCATCACCCAATCACCTAACTGGTACCTAAATGCAACCTGCTGCATTACTTCAAGCAAAAGTAAGCTGCTTGTTTAACTATTTAAAGTCCATAATGAAAGAGTTTTTTTTCTTCTATAACAA